TCATCTGCTGTATAAGGCAATGTTGGTTTATTGTGAACAATGCACAAATATGAAATCTAACATTCAACAAAATATGGAATGGCAAGATGGTATTTAAATTTTATATCCCACAGGTATAACTTGTCTTTTTGAAATGTTAATGAATTCATAATAATATACCAAATCAACACAATGGAAAAGCAGACATCATTACAATACTAATTATATATGCTACTTGGTCCCACTTTGAATCCTCTCTGAAATATTAAATCAGTCTAACAAGTTCTTTGGATACCCTCTTATCAAATACTCAAGTATATTCCTACTCTCTAGGAACAATGGAACTAAATCATTCATTTCACCTTTTCTCCACAGTAAGGTCAATCCATCTGATTGTGTAGACATGGTTTGTGATGCCAAAAGGAAATCTTTTCTTAGAGACTTGGATGGCTCCTTTCTGGGGAATTCTGGTTCAGTGATACCTCAAGCAGAATATGAATGGAATGGAAACAGCCAACTAGGAATTGGAGACTACAGAATTCCTAAGGTGATGCTCACATTCTTGAATGGAAGTAGAATTCCTGTCACTGAGAAAGCACCTTATAAAGGTTTGTGGGATCTTGATTCTGTTGTTAGTCCTCAAGTTCATGAAACAAAATATATGTTTTATTTTTAATGATTGTTGTACTCAACCAATAATGTATTTTCTACTTATTAAGCTTACATAGCAAGAAAAAGATTATGTGAATTTTTTACAAAGAGATATTTTTATTGCTAAAATGTTTATACATATATTTTCAGGAATTATTAGAGATTCAACCTGTAAATACATTCTAGAATGGCAGAGCTATAAGTGCTTTGGGATGGAATATGCAATGATGGTTATTGAAAGCCTAGATTCTGACACAGAAACTCGAAGACTTTCACCAGTGGCTGTACTAAGCAATGGTTATGTTGATCTCATTAATGGTAGGTATTCAATGTACATGAACTACAGTTACTCAAAGCATTTGCTTTTTATTGCACGCATGGAGACATCTCATAAATTAGTTACCACATGAAATTAGAAAACATCAAATCTTCTTTGCCTTCCATTTGTAAGAAAGATCTATGTGCAGGGAAGAGAACTGACTCTTTCATAGTATCCCATGCAGGAAAACAAGGACAGTTATTTCAAATGGGTCATTAGAGTAAGAAGAAGGAGGAGAGGGGAAGAGGGAAGGAGAGGAAAGAAAAGAGAGGGGAGAAAGTTACTTCTGGAGTGATCCTCATGCCTTTATTTATAAGGTGATATAAATATTTTGAAGAAACAGTTGGCCCAAGTATCTCCAAAAATATAATTTGCCTTACATGAATTTAAAAAATAATAATGTGTTATTTAGGATACTTCAGAAGTGGTTTTCTCAGCCTACTCAGTTTTTATTTTCATGAATCTTTGGAAGACTCATCTGTGACCAATGTGTTTTTTCATCTTTGATTCCTTTGACTGTCAAGGTCATCTCATCAAGCTCCAGAGTCAGGTTTCTCCCATTCTGGTCTTAGGCGACTCTAGCATGGAGGGAAGGTAATAGTCTCCATAAAGAAGCAGATCAGTTTAAGAGACCAAGGTTTTTTGAATTAGTAAGGTGAATTTCTAAAAGGCACTGAAAACACAGGACAGGGATTAATTGTATATCCATGAAATGACACTAGAGGCTCAAAGAGTAGCCCCTAAGCAGGCTTAGAGTCTTTCACATGATGAAGGGACACGCAGCCTGGCTCAGACAGATCTCTGTGCCCTGGTATTATCACAACATGTACTAAAATATACTAGGATTCAACAAAATAGCTGATACCCCACAAAAATTTTCGTTTAAAAAAACTCATCACAGAGAGTGAAACCAACCGAGTCAGGGGTATACCGAAGTTTCATGATTTTGAGGCTCTCCTTGCTTCTCACACCCAACATGTGATCTCCTGGTTTCTATGGCCTACAGTCAACCCAGTTTCAAATGCTGCCTTTCAGATTTTACAAAGCAGAGATTGTGGGAACAGTTTTAGAGCAGTCAGTGAATAATGGAGGAATCAAGGAGGTGTTTTCAAATTGCTCTGTTTTACATGGTGGAGAAAAATTTCAATGTATTTATTTTTACATTTCCCTTTTTGGCAGGCAGTACAAGTTTCTATTTACGATAATGACATGGCATTTCTCTTTTAAATGAGTTTAAATTTTAAACAGTGACTATCAATTTAAAGAAGTCTAAAGTAAATGATAATAACATGGAAAAATCATGAAGGTGTTAGAAGAATCACCAAAGCTTGGAATGCTCCATACTAAATGGAAAAAATAATTCCTCAAGATAAAAGTTACTGAATATTACTAAACTTTCCTTTTAAATATTAACACTCAATTTTATTTATTTTGAAAATGTGACTTTATTGGCACTCTAAATTTTTTGCTTTATACATAGACATTTCTTTACGTTTGTTTGCAAAACCCACAAAAGAGGTATATTTAAAAGTAGAATTTATATTTTGTATTATAAGGAAAGTGTTATGCTGTGCATGAGCTTTAGAAGTTTATATTGATTTAAAATTTGATTGAAGTTCAGTTATAAATATTGATAATATTTCCAAGTAAGCCAGAAAATTCAGCAAACCTAATGAATAAATGCATCAAGAAAATTCACTATTCCATATTTCACTCAATGTTTTATATATGCATAATCCCAGCCACTTTAAAACTAAATGAATAGAGAAGTTTGCTATGAAAGTCAATGTTAGATCTGTTCAGAAAATGGATTCAGGTAGGAAACCATCCACTATATGTTGGCTTTCTAGAAGGTTTGATGGAGTGTTATTTCTGAGATGGCTTTAGTTCATTAATGATGTTAACACTCCAGTAGTACCTGTAGTCACAGTGTTTAACAAAAATTTCTTAAATTAAAATTAAAATGGAGGAAGATTAAGGACTTAATTAAACAAATATATTTGTTAAATTTACAAATTAACTAATGAACAAATGAGTAAGTGAAAGAACAAATTAATGAATGAATGGTCCACGCATACAAATGTTCATGTTTTCCAGGTAAAGACCCTGTTTTTAACAAATTCACTCTGTGATAGCACATTCCAACAAAGAGTCTGAGGAAGTTGATTCCCTACCCAAGTTCACATTTGATAGGGAGGCGAAAGGATCAAGCATTTTCTTCCTCACCACGTGGCCTGGGCTTGAATATGATTATTAAAGTAAAGATACATCTCTGTCATCTTCCAGTACAAATTCTGACCAACACATTAATTTACCCTTCTTACCCTGGGCAGTGTAAAAGTAAGAGTATTAGGAAAGAGTTGCTTCCCTGCCGAGGTTTGAGAAATAGCTTAGATGGCTGGATAATGGTGGATGGATAATGGGTATAAATGCTAAACTTGACTTCTGTAATTTATTTTTAATACAATTACTCTTCGGATTTTGTGCTATGAATACTCATAATATAGGAACATTAGCTTTCATTTTGCATGGATTTAGGCCCACAGGATCATGGTTGGTGTGCGGGATACACATGCCAAAGAAGGCTGTCCTTGTTTCATAGCATTGTGGCTCTGAACAAATCTTACGAAGTTTATTTCACGGGTACCAGTCCTCAGAATCTTCGACTTATGTTGCTTAATGTTGACCATAACAAGGTAAGGAAAGATAGAAATAATGTCTTAAGAGTTATTGCTGTTGATTATTTGCATGTTTCTATCTACTAAGGATATTATATCTCTTCCTGAGTTCTCTAACATTGTCAGCCTTACAGCTCATTTTCAAGGACCCATCAAGGTACTACTAAAAATACTATTAGCCTAGACAGTTTTCAGTCAGCCTAGAAGTATATATAAGTACTAAACATTCCCCACCCCCAATATGCACTTGAATCTGGGGGTTGATATAGGAGGAATGACAGTGATGCCTATGATTTGTGCGATTAGCAAGCAAACCAAAATTTTTACGTAAAAAAGTGTACATCCAAATCTGATCACTTGGAATTATATACTTATTCTTCCATGCTGCTATTACTTATCTATGTTAGAAATACACCATTGGAATTTGCTTCAAAGATTGCAAGATGTTATTTTAAATGTCTTCAATAATGTCAAATCTTTGGTGTCAACTGAGTTCAGCCAGGTTCATTAAATTTATATATACTATGTCAGTGGGGAAAGAGTATTAAGTTAAGCAGTAATCTCATAATTTAGATTTTCTTTTCTAAGAACATAAGACTTCCAAGTCCCAGAGTGTTAGGTATGTGAAGAAAGGAGGCTGATAAGGTGAAGCAGAGAGAAGGGTAATGAAAGGAGACCCCTGCCCCTTCCCAGGTGATAGCAATTCCATCCTTTCAGTTGCTAGAGACAAAACCTTAGAACCACTCTTCTCTCTTTCTCTCACATTTCCAGTCCATCTGCAAATTCTGTTGAGTACCCCTTCAAAATATCCGGAATCTGACCACTTTTCACCACCTCCACTGCTACTGTCCAGTTTCAGCCTTCCCTGGATTAAGATAATTGCCTCCCAACTCCTCTTCCTGCTTCCACTTTTGCCCTTCTATAGTCTATTCTCACCTTAGTATTCAGAGAGATACCTTCGAAACATAAGTCAGATCAGTTCTCTCTCATGCCCTGAACCCTGCAATAATTTCCCCATTGGTTTCTGTACAATACAGTCAAAATCCTCACAATGGCCTATGAGGCCACATGAGAATCTCCCCTATCCCTGAGCTCTCTGGCTTCCTCTTCTACTCCTCCAGCCATCCTGGGCTCCTTTCTGTTCCTCAGTACACCAGACATAGGCCTATGCTTCCAATATTGCATTATCCGGGAACATTCTACCCTAGATGGCTAAACTCCCCATCTCCTCAAATTCCACTTTCTCAACAGGTCTACCCTGATCACCCCTTCTCACTTGGCTTCATAACCTTCTAATATGCTTTATACTTTACTTTGTATTATTTCTGTTATTTTTTTTTCTTTCTCTCTTCACTCTAGAATGTAAGCTCACAGAAGGCAGTGGCTTTTGCCAGCACCTGGAATACAGCATGGCTGAGATAGGAACTTGAAAATCGAAAAAAAATATTTTAACTTTAAAAATGAGAATGGTGACTACAAAGTAATGTGGCTGCTAATATTCTGACCTTCTGAATACATTATTGAAAGAAGATTCCAAAACTATGTATAGCTCATTAGACTCCTTGTTAATCCTTTCCTGCCATTGCAAAGGCCAGTCTCCTCACTTTATGGCGATATCTGATAGCATGAAATGTAGGGAACTTAAACATGAAAAATGGATAAAATTGAATCAGAGAGGATAGTTATTTTGACTGATTTTTATTAGTTTTACTTCCAAATTTTTCTCAGAGATAACTATCTTTTTCAACATTAAGTACTTAATTGTGTGTGCTCGCATTATATAGAGCACTACTAAACCCCATCCACCCCGGCCTTTTCCCCTGCCCCTGGAATTGAAGGCTTCTGTTGCACTTTATTGCCTTATAGAGGAACCCTTTCTTTAATTTAGAGATACTCCTCCAATAATTTCTTTCTTATGTTATACTTTTCTACTGAGAATCAACAATTAAGGGTTAAGTTGTACCATCTGTATGAATGGTTAAATGTAAGCCCATTTTAAAATTTTAGTTCAAAATTTATCCTAAATCCGTAAAACTTGGTTTTAATATTTTACATAAGGTTTGCATAAAGGAAATTTTAAGTGCTAAATTCTAAATATTGTTTTATTGTTCTATGGATTTCTTAAAACAAAAATGTTTATTTTTAACAGGCTGTTGTAGTAGGAACTTTTTTTTCCACACTTCAGCGTTTGGATGTCTATGTGAACAATTCATTGGTCTGTCCCAAAACGACAGTGTGGAATGCCCAACAGAAATACTGTGAACTTAATAAGCATCTATACACAGGTATTTCCTCAGAAAAGCACAGTGCACATGGTATATGTACTTGGTTACTTATAAAATTCTTTGTGATGTTTCATTGTTAATATTTTTAACGCCTTAGCCATTGACAAATGCAGAAGAAAATAAGTTTTTAGTCATGGCCCAGCAAATACTAATATGTATTCATTTATAACATGAGTGTCCTGAAAGATCATTCCTGATGGAATTCATCTATCTGCACACATGCAGATATAAGTTTTTGTTTGTGATGGACATTCTTTTGCTCCCTGAGAATTTTTCATTCTACATACATTGAGTTTAGTCATTTCTATGTTCAGAAGAGATTTTGCTTAGAATTTTACCTTATCTCTGCTTTACTTCTATTTCATAGAGGTCAGAGCCTAAATTAATTAGCAGTCATCAGAAGTATTACCAAGCAAACTAGTATAATACCAACTAAACACTATGAAGTAAATATGATAAAGTAAACTCTTGATTTAAATAAAACATATGGAAGAGGCTAAATTTATCCATTTATTAATATTTTAAAACCAGGATTTTTCTCTGCCAATTTCAGCCTTTTTGTTAAACAGGATCCTAATGAGGACAACTTCATACTTTCCATTTCACAAGTGCTATTCATCACCCTTTTTAGATGTGCTCCATAATCTTGGCTAACTATTACATAAATTTGTGCTGTAGATCATAATATAAGCTAGACTTTCAAATATGAATGGGTAATCTAAACTCTACCATTTATAGAACAAGTCCTATTTCTGCTAATACTAGAATTAGCTAATGTTTCCAGAGACATTACTATACGTCAGGTGCCGTTCTAAGAGCTTTACATATAACTCATTGTTACTGTATCATAATAACTCCATGAGGAAGTCACAGATGAGTAAACTGAGGCACAGTAGGTGAAGTAATATCACAGACTGGGCAGCTTAAACAACAGAAATTTATTTTCTCTAAATCTCTGAAAGCCTGAGATCGGGTTGCCGGAATGGTCAGGTTTTGCTGAGGGTGCTGTTCTTGGCTTGCAGATGGCCCCTTTCTTGCTGTGCTCTCAGATGGCAGACAGAGCGAGAGCAATTCCTCTGGTGTCTTTTTTTATAAGGGCACTAATTCCACTATAAGGGCCCCACCCTCACAACTGCATCTAAACCTTATTTCCTCCCAAAGGTCCCCATCTCCAAATGCCACATTGAATGTTAAGGCTTCAATATATGAATTTGGGAGTGGGAGCACAATTCAGTCCCCAGAGTCTCAAAGCTAGTATAGGCAGAGCAAGGACTTGAAAACAGAGTCTAGCTCTAGAATCCATGCACTTAACCATTATCATATATTGCCTCTTTATAAGCTAAGAGAGTCAGTGTTGTCACTTTTCATATACAAGTGATTACACATATTTACAGCTTAATTTTCACCCTTCTAAAGCAATACATATAGTACCAAGCACTCTGTCATTCAGGAAAATAGGAACTATCTGAAGGGGCAGAATTTAATATAGAGAATTGTTTACACAGGTGCTGAAGGGCTGGAAAACAATACCACTACTGCCCTCTTATAGATAAGTGCATATGTGGTGGTAGTGGTGCTGGTGTTTTCTGAAATAGCATTGCTGTTAAGTTAACTTTCTGCTTTGGCACTTAGAATGCAAAATAATATCCCTGTATTATGAATCTATACATATTTGGGGGTGTTACTCAAGATGTTTTATTTTATTTATGTCTCTGCTTCCTTCATTACTGTGAAAACATAAGAAAGCTACCTAGGATAAGTCATGTATACATCTCTAACAGTAGCTTGAGAGCAGCTTCAATTTATAATACAAAGCACATTCTTCAGATTCACACAATGTTTAAGCCAAATTGCACCTAGAATTTACACTAGCAGGTATTAAGGAAATGTATAGGAGTAATAAAATGGTTTCTTAATGCTATAGTCTGTTACATGCATGAGAAATTCCCTCTTCTTCCTAAAATTTTAACTTCTTTTTCCTAGTAAGCCTCACAATAAAATGTGGTAAGGAGCTACATGTCTCATTTTACTATTATTATGCAATTCAGCATTTGTCAGGGCTCAATATGTATTAGTGGATTTATTACCTCTTAGACATTGTTGATACTTTGCCATAAAATCATATATATGTGTGTGTGTGTATATTTTTTCAATCATTATATATATAATGATCTCAATCATGTCTATAAAATTCAGTTCTCTAGTGGAATTTATTTTGCCTTAACCAAAGATTTTTCAGGCTGAACCGTAAACCTGTTTTATTGGTATAAGATTCTTCTGAGATATTTTAATATATGCTTCATTTTCATTACATACTTTTGTCCTTGGTAAAAATAGAAACACTGAATTGTAAATGTTCTTTTAAGAGTTGATATATAACACTGCATAAGTTAGATGGCTAGTAAAGTTAAATTTATATTTTTAAATTACCAAATGCCTTCAGTCGAGGCTTTAAAATTCTGAACATGTAAATAGTATTATAAGTACAGTTTAGGCTCCTGAGTTCATAATTAGATTTGTTCCTCATTTATACTGTTTATAGCTAATTGTCTTTAAAAACCAATTTAATGTATAATGATTATTGGTAGTATTTTTAAAGGATTGACTTTAATTTCGTATGTCAATTCTATAAGTGTTTGTGTTTTTAATATGCATAGCTTTCTTATGAACGAATAACATTGAATTTCTCAAAATTTTCTAAATTCCAACAAATATTGAAAAAGCGTGATAATATAAATATATTTAGCTGTGCTTTTTTGGCTTTTTTCCTTCATAGAGCAATTTCTTCCTGACCTGGACTCCACTGTCCTTGGTGAAAATTACTTTGATAGAACCTACCAGATGCTTTACCTTTTGGTCAAAGGAACTCTACCTGTTGAAATCCACACTACCACAGTCATATTTGTTTCTTTCCAATTACCTACTGTAACAGAAGATGACTTTTACAGCTCTCATAATCTGGTTAGAAATCTCGCCTTATTCCTGAAGATACCAAGTGACAAAATCCGTATCAGCAAAGTAGTAAGAGGGAAGAGCTTGCGAAGGAAGAGATCCACCGGACTCGCAATTGAATTAGAGATTGGAGATCCCCCCACTCAGTTCTTAAGCAATGACACTACAGGTATGAATAATAGATGTTTGTGATGGAGGAATGCAATTACCAAATCCACATCCATACCTAACCCTATCAGGGCTTGGTGAGCCAGGCCTCAGAAAATCCTACCAACCCCACATCCTGACGCCTGTAAGGGCCTAGACACTCTTTTACCTTCTCTACTCCCATAATCCCAAACTATTTTGGAATTGTTAAAGAATTTCAGACTTTAATTTGTTATTGGGGTGATTAACAAATTCAACAAAAGAATTTGACCTGCTATAAAAAGATCTGGGAAGACCTACCTAAAGAAGTGACCTTATAGCCAAGAGATTAAGGATGAAAACAGTCTATCATGAAAAGAGGGAAGAGAAAGAGGGTTCTAGGCTGAGGAAATGGTTGGGGAGAGTTTGGTATATTTGAAGAACTGCAAGAGATCCAGCAGGTCTGGAGTGGAATGCACCAGGAAAGGTAGGCTGCTGGGTGTGAGGCTGAGTGGTAGGCAGGTGCTAGATTGCGGAGAGCTTTGGAAGCCAAAAGGACTGTGAATGCTTCCTTAAGGAAAAGAGTAGACCCTTGCATATTCTGAACAGTGGAGTGGTAAGTTAGATTTCCATAGTGGAGTCTCAGATTTTCCCTAACAAGGGCAGATGAGCAAGGACATAATCTGTCTTTATTTCCTATGACTGGGCTAATCATCCTCACCAGCCATTATCCCCTCTCTGTGTCCCTCACTTTCCACCCCCCAATTTGCTAAGTATCAGAGATAAAAATAACCTAACTTTCCCATTAGAGGTATCTCTGCTGGCTTAAATTGTTTCCTTAGGGTGGCTCGGTTTGGGCATTTGGGTAAATGCTCAGCCCTTCAGATTTTCTTCCTTTCCAACTTCTCCTTTCAAGTTGGTATCTGAATACTAAGGAGCTATCCTAACCTCAGGCCCTCATATTACACTCGTGTCTTCATGGCCTCTGCTGCAGGGTGGGTGGTCTTCTCTGCCCTGCACATGGCATCTCTTGAGGTACCACTGAACTCTCCTGGCCTTCTAAAATGCAGCAGCATCCCCCGCTGTGGACTCCCAACTGTATCTTTGTCTCCAGGGATGAGGCACAAGTACTCTTATCTAGGCATTTCCCTCTCCACAAATATGAGCTCTAGGTCTCTGTCGGAGGAAGATTTACCGTCCAGCTAATGAAGCTTAAGCTTCAAAGCCCCTCACTTGTACAAGCCCCGGGAGGCACTTTTACTTTCATGGCCCTAGGAGAGGTCCTAATAATATGTTCAAATCATTGAATGTTATTAGAAAGTAGCAAAAGTAAGATTTTCCTGCATTATTTTTCTTAAAGAGAGCCTCCAGAAAAGTGTATAAACATAAGGCCCACAAAATTGGTATCTCCCCTATTTCTGTTTGGTATCCTTTTCATTAAACTCCCAGGTGCTGTGTAAACCTGGGTACTGGGTGAAATTCTCACTTCGCGCCACTCGCTGGGGGGTGGGTCATCGCTCGTTTTCCCAGGGGCTTTGCTTCTGGGTGTTGACCCCTATGCACCTGCCACATTCTTACTCTGGAAATCCACCAGTTAGGTAGGCAGAAGTTTTTTCTCCCGTTGTGGGGATAAGCCTGTGGAAAGGTTTGCACGAGTGGAGGGAGGTGCTTATTAACTTTTGGTTGAAAGAGCATAGGAAGCGTAGGCTTGTGTGGCAGCCAGAACTCCCATGATGTTCTCTGCCCAGGGTCATAGTTTATTTTCCTTCATCAGTCCTGTACTTCCTTGGGCTTATAGGGTCAAAACTTTGGACTTAACAAGACTTAGCCTGTTAATTTAGTCCAGGAGTTACAGACGGCCCACAGTACACATACAGATTACTTATCCACTCTTGTCCTGGTAATTCCTTACACGTAGTGAGATCCAAAGTTTACCACACTGACCGTTAGATATCCAAAGAAGCTGTGATTTATTTCCTGTCTGTGACCTAATTCCCTCACACACAACTGCTCCTACCCCCATCTCCATAAAGCAGTTTTAGCTTGTTAATTTATCCAGACAGGTATAAGACAGTTTAAGAAGGTGGAGAGTAGAGATACGGGAAGGAACAGGCTAATGGCATGTTTTCCAGACATAGACTGGAAAAGGGCTTCGAGTCTCAAGGAGAGCCCTATAACTTGGTGAATCACAGCGACATGTTAGGAAGTGGCAAAAAAATGTGCACTTAGCTGCACTCCTGCCTCCCCACAGCTTTTACATAGTATCAGGATTTCCAGAAGTTCCCAGATGTCCTAGAAAGGGGTTACTTCAGTATTAAAGGCATTTCTGAGCAGACAGATTCCTGAGGCCAGGAATAAGAGGCCTTCAAGTTAAGGTACTGGGGAGGCCTTCTTGAAGAAGACTGTTCTGGAGTGAGTGAGGGGACAGGGAGGAATCTGAAAAACTAAGTATTTATCAAAAAAATACCTTTTAAACTGACACAGACTGAAATTCCCTAAGACCGTGGGTTTCAAAGTGTCGCGTCAGACCTGCTGGCCCAGGAAATTGCCTCCTTCTTCCTGAGCACACTGAGCATCATGGCTCAGCTTTGATGGAAGAAACTCAGTGATCTGAGTCCTCAAGGCGCAGCTCTGGATACGGAAGGTGCAGGATACCTAGGAATCAGGGGTGAGCAAGGCTTACGGTACACCAAAAGGTTATCCTGGCCTACTGTTATTTTTCAAAAGATCACTCTGACTTCTTTGTATGCAATGTAGTAGAAAGGGGGTGAGAATGGATATAAGAAATCCAGTTTAAAGTGTTTTTTGTAGCTTTTCTGCTGATGGCTCTAACTAGGATTCTAAGAATGGAGACAGATTTAGAAATTGGTAATTGATTAGACATGGTGTGAAGGGGAGTGAAGTAGCAGGGATCAAGGAAAAGTGCCAGGCTTCTAACAGAAGGAGTGTGAGGTATCGAGGTGCCACTCTGTAATATAAAGAGTACTATGGGGGAAGTAGGTTTAAGAGGAAATCTCAGACCTGCCGTGCTAGAAAATGGGAACAGAAACTATGTACAGTGTTAAAATGAACCTTGAAAATTGTCCAAGATCCAAAACAAGTAACAATTTGTTAGTAAACTTTAGCAACTTGTTAATATTCATACTGATAATTTGATGGCTTCTAATTCTCCTTCCACTCCAAAATTAACACCCTATTCTTAAAAAATGGTATGTGATGATAGAAATGCATGATAGTGCTTCACTTCTAAACAGAGATTGCCATGGGAAGTATTAAATTAAGAAACATATTCTCCTACTATATTTTCATTTATGTTTCTTGTATTACTTAATCTATTTTTGTCTTTTCTATAATTCCAGTTTAAAACATAAGTCTACTGAGTTCTTAATTTCCCTAACCTCATTAATATGACTGTTATTTTTTTTTTGCTCATATATAATTAGAAAGAATTCTTAGAATTCTATAATGTGGTGGAGTAAGGCAAAGAAAGCTAAAGTGAAAATGTTCATTTGTCATCACAATTCTATACTTTTATAATCGATATGTCAAAATACTGTTTCCTGATAGGTCGGATGCAATTATCTGAACTACAGGAAATTGCCAGTTCTCTTGGACAAGCTGTAATTTTAGGAAAAACCGGTAACATCCTTGGATTTAATATTTCTTCTATGTCTATTACTAATCCCCTCCCCAGCCCAAGTGACTCTAGCTGGATTAAGGTAAGAAAATACAACCAGAAA